CCCTGCAGGCAAGCCCAGCTTGAGCTTCAAAACTCAAAACTTGCCATGTTTCATTTCAAGGCTGTTTCATTTTGATTTCGCTGTTTTGAGCTCAAAACGAGTCGAAACAGTGTTGAAACAAAACTGCTGATGAAATTTCACACAGCCCTAGTTCTTATCTGTTGCTCTCTAGCAGAAGCTACAACCATAGACACAGAACACCTGGACTCGGTCCGGCCTTTGTATTGTGTCTCAATGGTCTAAAGGTGGGATGGTAGGTCTTACACAGCCTCTGCTTGTCCATACTCTTGCCTAGGCATATGCATTCAAGGTCTTGGTGTGATGGTCACAGGACTCCATACAAGTGGATTCATCGGACACCTGACTAGACCTCTTACATGTAAACCATGACGCAAAGGATCAGTGGTTGCCTACCCATCTGTTTCTATTTGCATAAAGTCCTTTACAGTAGGGGAACTGTGCGAGTGGAAGCAGGGCTTGACTGGAGTTTGTTGAACTGGCAGCACAGAAATAGGTTGGGGTTGTTTGTTTGTTGTTTTCCTCTCTACATTCCTCCAAAAGGAAATGCAGCCTGGACTGTATGTTCTTCTCTGAGACAGACAGCACATGCTCAGAAAGCCCCTTGGGATCTTCTATACGAAACCTGTTGTACCATTATTCATACAATGCCACAATACATGAAATCACCTATATTTGTTACGAAACACCTGTATTTGGTAGTGTCCATGTAGTAACAAGATCTGGGTCCCGGTGTGCTTGAAGAAGACTGCAAATAGAAGCCTAGGACTAGGAGGGCCCTGCAGGAACAATGCCACAATCTTTTTCACAAATGTATCAAGATGTATCTCAAGGTTTCTAAGATTGCTTTCTCCAAATATTTCATTGCAAAAGAGGCTCCAGATTCTACTCCTTTGACAGCTGGCAATCTAATTTCCAGCCTAAATTAATTCACAGCCAGTTTCTCTCTCTGTGTTCTTGTGTCAACAATGTCCTTTAGCTTGAACAGCTGCTTTTCCTTCCCTGGTTCTTCCCTTCCCCAACCCTACCATATTATATGCAGTAATCACATTCCCCTCTCAGTCTTCATTTTGCTAGGCTAAACAAGCCAAGCCCTTCTAGTTTCCTCTTGGAAGACAGGCACTCCATTCCTCTGATCATCCCAGTAGTCCTTCTCTGCATCTGTGAAAGTCTCTGCCCTAAGCAATGCTGACTTGCTGATATGTCATTCCACTACAGTTAGGTGAAGTTACTGGGTGACAGCTTTCTCCTCACCTTAATTTTCCTCCAGAAACCAAAGAGAGTAGTTTTCATTCTAGCTACGATTGCTGTAACAGGAAAGAGAGCCAGCCAGAGGCACAATTAAGAAGTTTTGCCCCCTAGGCAAAACTATGTTGGAAAGTTAGTGGTGGTGAAGGTTGTGTGCCAGAGAGCTGGGGGAGGAGGGGATCAGGTTTTTACCTACCCCAGGGACTCAAAGCCCTGAGCTGCTGCTGCTGCAGTGTGGTCTGCCCATTCTGGCTGCTGCTGCTGTTACTGCAGTAGGATGGCATGCCTGCACCTGGCTGCTGCCACCGCCATAGAATAGACATCCTGACACCTAGGGCTGTTGTTCTGATCACTGTCACTGAGTTATGCTACCAGAGCCAGTTGTCTGCAGTAAGGATCTTCCCCTCATCTCTCAAGAACAAGCATTTTACAAGATAGATTGACATTTTTAAATGCATCTCTTCCTGCTGTCCCCTGGGCATTTAAGGGTTCGTCTAGGCTACAAATCTTAACAGTTATGAAATCAAATGAGAGAGAAGTACTGTCATTATGGGAGAAAGTTAATTCTATTCCAATAATATCAGAGAATAACATTTTCAGACAGGCAAAAAGCACCTGACTGACCTGGTAGACTTGATGAAGAGGTCTGCTCAAGATTCAGGTGCACTCAGAAAGCAAACAAGATCCTTAGGGATGCTAAAGGAATCGACCATAATATAGAAAATATTACTGTGCCAGCATATCAATAGGTGGAGCAGACTCGCATGAAATATGGTGCATATAACTGTTACAAAAATTGGAAAAGACAAAATTGGGACAGGTTTAGAGAATGGCTATGAAATGGAAAAACTTATTGAAGCCAGATTAATACTATTGACAGTAGAAAAGCAATTGAATAAGAAGGAACACGAGAAATTTGTAAAAAAAAGGAAAAAAGGATGGTCCAGAGAAGGTAGATCAGGAATTACTGTTCTCATCGTGTTACAGAACAGGGACAGAGTGACATTAGAAAACACAGGTACAAAACTACTGAAGGGTAGCTCTTTTCCTCATAATTGTACCATGGAACTCATTGCCACGGAAATTGAGACCAAGACCTTAAATAAGTAAGGGTCAGACATTTACATAAACAAGAGAGTTCAGAATTACAATGATTAACAAATATTTTGGAAGGGAAATTGAACCTTATGCTTCATAGTTTAAGCCAATCTATGAGCAACCAATTGAGGGAGGACTGGGAGATTGAAGGTTTCTACACCATCCACTGAAGCACCTATAGACCAGTGTCAGAGACAGGACACTGAATTGTATGGACCACCTATTTGATCCAGCATGGTATGCCTATATGCCTATTCCCATATTTCTATATCTTAACTAGCTAGGCTTTTAGTGCAGGTCAGGTATAAATCAGCTATGACACCTAGGGTGCCTGTTTGCTCTTAAAAAAAAAACTTGCTTAAACAAATGAAAAAGGATCTATTTATTGATGAGGATCATTGTTATGCTGTGCTGGATGATGGCCAGTAGGAATGTAATATGGTCTGAAATGGTAAACTTTTGCTTATGCATCCCCCCCCATGTTAAAGTTTTAACATGCTTAACAGTTTTAAGGGCAAGAAGACATCTAGCAATGAAATGTACCTTTCTAGTTCCTTGTGCCTTATCTTCATACACAGATTGTATTTCTTTTTGCTCTGCAGAGAGAAAGCTAACACACACACACAGGTGCCAACACCAGAGCAGTTTAGGTTTAGCTACTGCATGGGCTCGCTGCTGGAGAAAGAACCCTTCCTTACCATTCCAGATCACCTTTTAGCCTCCTGTTATTTGTTGTGTACCAGTAGCTCTGGCTTTGCTAAAGGGAAGCAATAATCTGTGAAGCATTCATGAGGAATTCATTTTTTCCCAAAGGCACACTCCTACATAAAAGGCATGGCGCAAGGGCCTAAAAACACAAGGTCTTCAGTAAGTATAACAATCTGCCCCTAAACTGTATTATGAAGTATTTACCTGGAAGTGCCTCAGGATACAGAGAGAAGCCTAGCAGGATTTTATTAAGCACCAAGGTCCAGATTCTCAAAAAATATTTAGACACCTAATTTCCACTGAAATCATTGGACATTAGACACTTAGAAATGTTTTGAGTTGAAACAGATACAGAACTTGCCCTTCTGTATCTTCAGGTACCCAAATCTCTTTAAATCCAAGCATCCAAATCTCATTTAGAAGTATTCCATGTTTGTTAATTACCCCGCTTCTTCAGCATGAAAGGTGCAAGCCCTTTGTTCCACCAGTTTAATTGCCTTCCAACCTCTTCCCATCCCTCATAAGAATATTTTTCCCTCCCCTGCATCTGTTACCTTCTACTGCATCTCTATTCTCTCCCCTACAGTGTATTCCCTGCTCTTGATCCCACTGGTTCTTGGCTATTTAGGTAACAGTTCCATGGAATACACAGGCATTGCTGGAAAGGATGTTCATAGGTAGGTTCCGCTTTTTCCTCTGACAGTACCCAGTCCCCATTGTTTCATCTTAGTTATGAAGGGCACTACAATCAGATCCATCTCATTTTCTGTTGTAAGAAGACACATATCCTGCATTTAAGATGAACTCCTCACCCCTTCAAAATAAGTAACATTATTTTAACGTACATTTAATTGAATTTTGGTCAGGTTTTATTTCAGTGACACTAATTATTGTTAACTACATATGCCGTGGTGTACAAGATGCACCTTAAATTCTTTTCAGGAGAAAAAACATATCCTATGGACAAGATAACGTGGCATGTTGTTTCAGATAACAACTAGCAACCTAATACCTCTATTGATTAAGAATTCCCTGTAAGAACCACTAGTTAATCGTGATGTTCTGAGTTTTAGAATGCTGGATATTGCTGCTATGTTCCATCCAACAGCCACCAGCATCCAACCAAGAGGAAGCCATCATCAGAGGTGGCTGAAATCATCACAGCACAGAGGTCAGGTAGTAAAATCAGGATTTGTGAAGTGCTCAGATTTCCCTTCTAAAAGGAAGTACAAAAATATATTTACTATCATCTTTATGGGTCTCACCAGCATTGAAGAAATTATTGTATATGGAGACAGTGGAAAAAGTGGCTTGGCTGTTCTGATATTTCTGTTCCTTGGAGACCGCTAGCTGTAGTGTTACTCAAATCCACAGCAAACAGATAAAACAAATATGCACAAAGGAACTGATGCCTGGGACAATATTCCATGAGGTGAGTTGTGCTGCCTCCTAGAGCAAGGGGACATTTTATTGTTTGTATTTCTGTAGCATTTAGGAGACCTAACCAGAGTTGGGCCTCATTCTTCTAGGCATCCTACAAACATAGAATGAGAGAGAGTTTCTTCAAGATCTTCCAGGCTAAAGAAGACAGACAGAAGTGACTGTCTGAAGTGCAGAACCACAGTTTAATCTAATTTCCCCATCATAACATATGGTCCCCCTTTTCTAGGAGTTTAGCTACTAAAGCTAACATCCTTTTCTGCCATTGCTCACCACGTTCTCTCTTCTCATCCCCCTCACCCCAAGCTTCACTTAGGGAAGAGACAGGATAAATAGTATTTATTTTTTCCTGAACTTGTTTTTCTTCTTGAAACACCTCTGAACATATCTCAGAACCACTTGTCCTTCAATGGTGCAGGATACTATGAATTCCCTGCCCAAAATGAAAATGCTAATTCTCACAAAGCTTCAAGAAATTCCATGAAACATTTTCATTTAAGACATTTCAGATTTATTCGCAACACACTTGAAAACTTAAAAAGCGAAACCATATGTTCAAATATTTATGTCCGAGACTATTAAAATCCCCAATGCTTTTCACAAAATAGGTCATCATAACACTGTCTGAACATACAGTAGGCTGGTGTAACTATTTATTGATACTCAACATCACAAGTGTTAGAAATTGTACCACTACAAAACTGTCACACAGGCTTTGAAAGTGGATGAAAAACAACATTTTTTGAATATTTCTTCTGTATTTCCTGTATTATTTATCTACTTGTAAAAGTCATACCACTGGATAGATGCACGGTAATTTTAACTGCTGAGGTTTGTTTTCAAAGCACCGTGATATTATTTTATGCGAGCTACTTCCTCTGACAGGGGAAGCACAGGTAGAAACAATTATTGCATTTATGGCTTATTAGTACTAATGTTTGTTGTTATCTCTGATCAGTCTATGGAATGAACAGGAACACAAGAATAAATTCTATATTCCAGGTCATTTTCTTGTGGATTGTAAAGTCACTGCTGCCTATTTTAAGCTTGTTCTTAATAAAGTGTCAAAAGAAGGCATAAGTTCCCTCATTAGGGATACCAAGATCTCTCAAACTACAGAAACTGCATTTGGGGGTGATTGAGTGTTCCAACTTTTCCTTCTTTAGATCTGCTCTATCCTACCAAATGAACATAAATAAACCATGTTTCTTTATTGAGTTAAGCAACCAAATAATTTTGTCAACTTTACATGTATATAGGTATTTGCTTAAATTAATCTCCGTAAGCTGTTTAAAAGAATCATACAAAGCAGTGAATCTTATCAACTTGTGCAATCCATTCAGAACAGTTCAAGAAAAAAAAAAGGGGGAGGGGATTGTTTTACACTAGTCAAATGTTGTTCTTTACTTTCTCTTAAAGATCCCCAAAGAGAGTCTTATAAAACTACTCTCAGGTTATATCTCACAAAAGCAACTGCCAGTTAGGAAATCTATGTTGAACAATGTCTTCTTTTTGAGGACTGCCACATCTTCACAGCCCAAAGATTAATGATATTTTTAGCTTGTAACAGAATGGATTCACCTTTCTTATCGTTTGCTCGATCGCTTTTCATACTTCTCCTTTGTGTGCCGGTGCGTGCGTCGGTGGCTGGAAGGAGAATAGCTGCCTCTTCTTCTAGCCTGAAAGCTGGGTTTGTAGGGATGAGTTATATGTTTCTTTGGTTTTTCTTCCTTCCTGCTTTTGCTTGGCTCAGGTTCTTTATCAACTTCCTTATGCTCACATTCTTGGTCTGGTTCTTTTTGGGAGGGTAATGTGTTCTTAATAGTATTAATGAGAAATCTTTTGTTTGTAGCAGCAAGAGGGCATTTCAACCTGAGAAAAAAATTGAAATGTAAGTGTAAGACGATGAAATACCCTGGCACTTACATAACAGTGTAAAAGGAAAACCCAAACTATTTTAAGAGGGACACAAGTTTATGATTTTGGCTTTCCTTGCATGCCACCTAGTGTAAACTCTGAGTACAGAAAAAGACATTCAGATGTTCCCATTCTCTTTTTGTCTTAGTCTCAAGATTAGAAACAAAACAGCTGTGTTATTTTAGTAGGGGGAAAAGCAGATTTGGAGTGGCCCATGTTGGAGTCCTCTACAACTGCATAGATCATTTTAATAATTTACGCACTGACAAATTTCTAAATAGCTGATTCTTGAATAGTTATAAACATTCCATTTCTGTTGATAAAAGGCTGCATGATCTTGTTTCACTGTAGTTGGTGTTGTCCTTTATTTTTTAAAATGTTCAGCTCATTAAATAAGCATTTTGCTTCAGGAACACCAAGTACTTATAATAATATCACAGAAAGGCATTTTCCAACTCGCATTTAAATTTTTTATTCCCAGCCTATAAGATTTATTTTAAATCAAGAAGAGACTCATCCCGTTTTTTCACTTCCCTCATTCTTGTTTTCCTGGGTTTTCCCCTCTCCTGCTTTTTATGTAGCAATCTATATCATACTCTAGCACATAATCAGTTCTTTCTGGTAACCAAATATTTTATACTCATTTAATTTTTCCCACTAGGAATAAAATCTCAACAAATCTTTATTCCCTACCTGTGTTATCTATTAACAAAATAAATCCAAGACTTGTTTAGAATCTAATTTAGTAATTTTTTTCTGTTTAGAGAGGAAATAACTTCTGGAGATTGTTTACTCTTGTGAGTGCACTGACATTTTTATTTGTTTGCATTGGGTTCATGTGTAGGTGGTCAACTTTCAAGGAATTTCTCTAAAAGGCAGAAGTGTTGATTCAGTAGGTGGAACACTACCCTCCAAGTACTCAGTCAATGAATGACACAAGGTAATGCCAGAGACCAAATGGTGCTGGAGGCAGTGTCTTCTGCACAAATGTAAAAGCTAAATCAGCTACTTCTGCAAAATTTTGACCATTAACCCCCAGCTTAGTAGGTGAATTTTAACCATGTAATTACACTGCTCGTTTGGCACCCTCCACTAGTTTTGGTTCATTATTCATTTATCCTAAAGGAATTTACACAGTATTGCTAAACAGGTATCAAGCTGCAGCCCAATAAAGGCTGCCAAAATAATTTAAGCAGCACAGTTTTTTAGCAATATCTTTTACTGGCCCAAACAAAACTTGCTTCTTGCATATTCCCTGGACCATCATGGCTGCTATTCAAATTATTTTATAGCTTTAGAGCATAAAAGAAACATGGGGCAGGAAGCTTCCTCCTGGACTACAGAGTCCAGTTCCCTGTGTTCGCAGTCAATCATTAATTCTAGGAATCTCTCAAATCACCATTTCAAACCCTCACTCATAATGACAATGAGCTCTTATTCATGAAAGCTTGTGCACCTCCAATTCAGTACATCTATAAGATGCATCTCTATCCTGCCTTCCACCTGACTTCAGACTAACATGGTTAACTACCTTTTACAATGACAAGGCACAGTCCGTGACATATCAAGAATACCCTAACATGCCATACGTAAAAGCAAGGAAGAAGAGAGCACTACCCATGTCCTGCCAGTGCAAAAACAGGGAAGGGGTTCATAAATCCACAGAAGTTAGGGACTGGAAGGGACCTCACAAGAGCATTAGGTCCAGCACCCCTGCTCTTATGCAGGTTAATATATACTCAGGGGATCCTAGGAAAAGGTCCATACTTCACGCTGTCAAAAGGTAAAAAAACCCTGCAGTCTGTGCCAGCTTGACCTAGAGAAAAATTTCTTTCTAACCCTAAATTTGGTGATCAGTGTAACCCTGACCAAATGAGCAAGATCTTCTAGCCAAGAACCTACGTGTTCTCTAAATGCTAGCAAGAACATAACTGTACCCACTGAAAACCACTCAACCTTGTGTCTCTATGTTCCAATACCTCAAAGAAACAGGAAATAAAAACCAGCAGCTAACAGCACTCCCAAGGGGAAAAAATATTTCCTGGTTCCAACTGTAAGCATAGCCTGTAAGTCACAGGACTACCAGACACCTTCCATAGAAAAAGAGCTGTCTTTGTACCCCAACTTGAGCACTGGAACACATGACTCTTAAGCTAAAACTACCTGTCCTAGTAAAACATCCCTTCCAAAAACTTAGCTAGTTCTGTCTTAAATTAATTTGGGTTCCTTGCTCTACCAATTTGCTTGGGAGGACAATCTAAACTTTCAGCTGAAAAAATAACTGCCACAGATCTAGAGCAGATGATAGTATGTGGTGACACACTGACTGGATTTGCAAGAGCTATGGACAGTTACTCATGTATTGAGCCTCAGAGGAATTTTGTTACTGTAGAAGGATGCATCTCTATCCTGCCAGACTACCATGTTTATTTTAATGTGGGTTCTCAGAATAGCAAACTTTAGAATTTTAAAATTTTCTTAGAAAATTATGAGGGGCAAGAATCTCTTAGGGTGATATCTTTTACAGGATCAACTGTCTCTTTTAGGTTGTGAATTTTCCACTGTAAGCAATGGATTCTAGTATCTTTCATGTTATGGTCTAGTAGTATAAGAGTGATGTTGTAGCTGTGATGGTCTAGGAATAATACAAGGGGGATAATTTCTTCAGGTCGAGATCTTTTATTAGACGACTGTGACCACAGTTGGTCCAGTAAGGTTCTCACCCTAAGAAACCCTTGCCTCTTGCATAATTTCTGGATCACCATGACTACAAGATCACTCTTACACTACCCTTAGAAAAATAATTATTTTTGCATCCCTCTGCAGGTCAATTCCAGTCATTTAAGCAGCCTGCATTCAGATGAAATAGAAAAGAGTATAAAACCCCTAAACAGTGGTTCCATAAATGAAGACAGCAAGATTTACACATTTAATGCTAAGTGACTGAAAAGATGGGAGTATCTGTTTTCCAATGAGATAGTGCTTTCATTTCAAAAGCCCTCAGTTAGGGAACATGTTGACAAATATGTTGTGGACATAAAATATGTTCAAACACATAATACAGCATTGTACGTATTTGCTCTCAGTAATCCATGCTTCTGTCCTGACCCAACAGTTGAGAGAGTTGTACAAGTTTAACCAGCCTTCTTGGGTGCTTACAGACATGGGGAAAAACAAAAAACAAACAAACAGTGCTTTACTTTCAGCTTGGTGTGCACCCATGCTGAGTGCAGTGCATGCCCAGAAGAGGAATCGTATCAGTTTGACCCGGTTCACCCAGCTTCTATATAGCTCATGTGCTTCAATGTGGCTTTTTGGTCTATGGCAGCGTTTCTCAACCCGTGGGTCACAAGAATATATGAAAGGGCCACAAACAAACCTCAAAAATGGATCAAACTTTAAAAATGGATTCTCCTTTAAAGGAAAAACATGTGGGAAACCATGGCTTTTTCTCTGCAGGCTGTCAGAGTTCCAGCTTGCAGGGGGCTGCTTGGGGCCACCCATGCCTCACACATGCCACACACATCCCTCCTGCCCCACACACTGGGAAGCTGGGGCCTTGGGGAGGGGGGCAGTAGGTTGGAAGTGAGGGGCACTGGGTCAGGACTAACCATTGATGTTTACAAATGGGTCCTGGTACAAAAAAGGTTGAGAATCACTGGTTTATGGAGCCCAAGCCCAGCTTTATTAAACTGCTGGTGAGACGGACAAGTGCAAAGTCCTTTTCAATACTCCAAACTCCTGCTTCAAATAGTTTTATCATCTCCCTCAAAACAAGAACTTCTCACACCCCCCCAAAACAGCACCGGGAGTTTAAAGTCAGTCTTCAGTCTTGAACAGTGACTATTAAAAAGCGTCCCATAACCTCATAAACTTAAAAAATTAAGGTTGGAAGATTTATATGAGAGGTGTCAAACTCGACCAACACCCTGTGTTCTTTGCAGCCTGGACTCAGATTATGGGTCTCTTCATAGGCCAGATCCAGACCTAGTGACAGAGCAAACAGTGGCAGTACAGGGGTTAACACAGTTGTTGCTCACCCTTCCACTGACAACACATATTCCCAATGGGGCTCTGTACCTGGAAATTCAGTGGCAGGTACCATCCCCACTCACCCTGCCCTTGAATTTCCAAACCCTCCAGGAGGCCCGTGGGCTGGGTAAAATGGCTCCTCAGGGCAGATCCACCCCTTGGCTCATATTTTTGACATCCCTGCTTTATACTATCAGGAGAAATAATTCTTACACAATAATTGGCTTATAGTACTAGAAAATTCCAAAACACCAGATTTTTGAAGTCGTGACTTTCTTGCTTAGAAAGAGCTCTTTTTGCTTGCTGTAAAGAGGCATTAAGTGCACTAGTTAATTTTTTTTCCTGCCTTGCTTCAGAGGAAAACAGAATAACCAAGCTGTATTCATAACTAGAGGAGCTGCGTAGCTCGGTGCAATGGGCAACTACCAATGGACTGGAAGGAGCTGGGCTTGATACCAGGTGAGTGGTGAGCTTCCACCCATCATTTCCACTTTTAGCACAACCCCTGAAGCCCACCCAGCCTCCAATGAGTACCAGGAGCTCCGCATGGGTAAGGGTGGCTGGAGCATGGTGTTGAATACACCCTCCTCCTCATGCCAAAGTTAAAGATGCAGAGGAGCCCTGCTGCCAACAGGTCTCAATGGCCTGTAAATGGCAAACCTTTACATTTACTCGCATCTAAACAACATGGCCTGATAGACTGAAGAAAAATATAGAAATAGTTCCAGGAATGCTACTAAAAGCTTTTAGCAAGATATGTGGCAAGTACAAATGCACAATGGTGCCATGAAGAATTCTCTCGAAGGCGGGAAATTTTAAAAACATTTCCTTAGGATAGATAAGTGTAATGAAGTCAATGCAAGTTTTGTTTGATGTTGGTAAGGTGGCATCAGAAAGTAAATTCATATCTTGTGCAGGATGGAGCACTTCACTGCTGACTACAAAACACTCCACTGGAATAGAATTTTTAAATGTTTTCTTCCTTTCTAAAACACTTTAGGAAAGTACTTTAAAACACTGTTAAAGAACACTGAAGTCTCTAAGGCTCAAAGATACATCACTAAATGAAGTGCATCAGCTGAACCAGGAGTGTCCCAGCATGGCTGATCTGCTTCACTGGGCAAAATAGATATTCCCTGTTGTCCTGCAGGGCCAGGCCCTGCCGGTCCATGGCTTAAGGGCCCGATCCTGTGGGATAACACTCAGAGCATCTCTCTGCAAACCCTAAGTCTCCCCATTTGGATAGTTGTGCCTAAGAATTCCAATTTAGGGCATGCCTCTGTAAACAGGGAAATGCAGGTGGGTGCTCCCAGGGCTTTAGGGGCCTGATCCTTCACTTCCCTGGAATTCTCCTGTGGAGGAATTCCTGGGGCATGCAGGATCAGGTTCCTGAAGCCCTTGGAGCACCTGCCTGGGTGGCCGGAGAGAATGGGAAGCTCCAGGCTGCCCGTGCTCTCCTGCCTTACAATAAACTGACACCTACCACAAAACAGGAGCAAAGATTTATATTATTGTGTGGTGGCTACAAATTTAGGTATTTGTGGAATAACAAAAGGCATGGATGTTGACTTTCTTTTGCTTTGTGACACTATAAATATTTTTATGGTGGCACAAAGGCGACATATATTTGCAGCCAAAGTGCAGTATGCCTGAAGCATAGGCTCTGGGGTGGACTAGGGAATGTGGATGATCACACACACCATGAGCCTGTTTTGCCAGCACATCCCTCCATGTTTACACCATACAGTCAATGTGGTTCAAAGATTTTTTTTTTAAATAATTGTGCATGCTCCCCAGAGTAAAAAATGAATACATTTTGTAAATCCACAAATAAGCTACCTTATACACAAGGATACATATCATATGTATCCAAGTTTCTTGACTGAAATTTCATATATTGTCCATTTTGACAAAAACCTGCGTGTAAAACAAACAACACCAATTCTCCAGCTGGGAATATCATCAGTTCAGTGCTTGGGGTAGAGCAATCTTCAGTCAGAACTTTAATTTCAGTTATGAAAACACATATTAAAGAAAAAATTTTGCACCTCCAGTTAATGAATAAAATATGTTTTAATGTGATGCTATTAAATCAAACATTAGAACTGAAAACTTTACCGTTTTATATATAATTTTATCATTTAATTTGTTTACACAGGGTTTGGTGTCTGTTTTTTCCTTCCAACAATACCAGTATTTAAAAGGTAAAATAGGCTTTGTATTTTGTTTGCATCATAACTTACCAACCCATAGCTCCCATTGTTTCAGCTCTAGTTCTCCCCCGTTTTGCCTCTTTAAGAAGTTCTTCTACTGCCTTCCTAGACATGAAAAGAGAAAAATATATTAAACTCGAACATTAAGATATAAAACAGAACACCTGGAAATTTAGAAAAGTTGGTTCACCTGATAAGTACCAAAACCAATCATTTGTTTAACCAAGCACTTCACATGGAGGATTGGCTACTGAATGTATTATGACATTTGGACTATTGTCATAGTCCTAATTTCTACCTAATAAGGTGGGGGAGAAAAGAAATAAAAGCATGAAGACAAGCAGCTGTACAAAACATATATTTTACATCATTTCTATTAAAAGCCACCAGTCATTAAAGAAACTTAAGCACATTTATTTAAAATTTTTAGTTCAACTTTCAGAGTAAACAGCAAGGTTGCTGTTCTAGAACATTAAACTGAAAAGTACAGTTCCCATTTCCAGTTACACAGAGCACCATATTTACATGGATCATGGTGCGTTGGTCCTTCAGTATCTTAGGGTGCTTTTGTTTCTTGCTCCCCACTCTCTCCATGGCTGCAGGAAGTTTGTCTGGCACCCCAAATTCTACTGCCCCAGGGAGCTGGAACTGGTTATAGACCAAAAGAACAGCACAGGACTCCATCTCCTAGGCCTTCCTCCTGTGCAAAAAAGAGCTATTCCCATCATGTCAACATCTCTGGTGTTATCTACAAGTCAGGCTGGAGGAAGGGCACTGAGCAGGAACCTGTAGGTAGTTGAAGTTGTGTCTGGATCCCTTAAAAGTCGGGTACTGGGTTTTACAAGTGGCGAAGGGGAGACTCTACAGCACTTCTCCAGAAGTGGAGGCAACATCAGACTTCTACAGGGTAGAAACATGGCCAGAAGTTCCATGTGTACATGGTACAGAGACTGGCTGCTGTAAGTTGTCTGTAACATAGTTGTGGAGGTATACACCTCAATATGACAAACTTAAAAAGGGATATGCACCCAAGAAAGGAGAAGGGAGTCCCTATAGGTGCCCCTCCTGAAGTGAAGCCCAAGTCAGAGCTTTAACTTATCACTGACCTCTTGCAGGTTGATGAGGCAAGTGGATGATCATGCCAACAACAACTGGATAGTCAGGCACACCTCCTGCACTGGCTCTCCCACTGTGGACATGCCTAGACCAGACTCGCTGGTGAACTGGAGATAATATGACCAAAGTCTTGGCTGCATCTGTATCTGTCCATGGTGCTGCACACCAGCCCTCACAGGAACTGAATGAGCTCTCAAAAGTGGCAGAGACTGACTGTGCTGGAAGGAGCATGGCATAGGACCTGTCAACACTAGTTTTAAAGAAATTCTAGGTCTTCTCTGCATACACTTCCCATAATTCCTCATTCCAGATGACTTCACTAACTAGTTCCCTTAGTTTGTCAAAATGAAAAAAAGTTGGAAACCGCTGCTCTAGCACTTCTGCCTTTTTACTACTAGTAGTTAAACTGCATCAGCTGTAGTGCAACAGCAGCAGAAAAAACTCACTGATACAACTGTGACCTGTTGCGTCTCCAAATTACTGTTTGATTTCAGTTTAGATATATAGGTTCTAGAACAAGAGTGACCAGGCTAAGAATAAACTATTTAAGGATTTCTCACATCAGAGCTCTGTCCTTGTTCTGCAAGCAAGATTAGTATGTGGAAGTTATCAATTATAATTTATGTCATTTCAAATTAGATGCGCTATTATTAAGTCAAGATAACTTTAGTTCAGTTCATTTTAGTCATAGGTTACAATAAGGTAACTGTTCCCATTAGCAGGAAAATAATAGATGGGTGATACAAGCCACTCTCCACTCTTCTATAGATTAGTCAAGTACAGTGCTTTTCAAACATTTTGTGTGAATTTTGGATACACTCTTTCTAAGTCTGTCATACCATGGTATATATTGCTGTGATTATGTTACAGACAGTAAATATGTCACTATAAAACTCAGCTGCAATCACTGCAACAACCTAAGAGCTCTTCATGTTTTCCTTTTTTCTTCCCTTTCCTCAATGTATATTTTCCCCCACCCTTTTCTAGTACTTCCTCTCATGTACCCACAAAGATTGATGCATATCCTAGCTATATGCATACTCCAGTCTGAAAACCATCAATCTAGTATAAGCTTAACAAGTTTGCTCCTTACAGAGGACTGCTTTACTATTCTGGGGTGTAAGCCAGTTATGTTCAGGGAGGGTGTGGGTGTGTCTGCAGAGGGTGGATAGGTGTGGAGGGTGTGGGAGCATGTGTGTGTGGATATGTGGAGTGTGGGTAGGTATGGGGTTTATGGCAGGCTGTGTATGGGGTGGGGGAGGGTGGCTGGTGTGTGTGAGGGAGTATGGGTGTAGGGGTCTATGTGTATGGCAGTACAAGGGGGTGTGTGGGTGCATATGTATGGTGGGGTGTGTGGGGTTCACCCTCCCCCTCACTCCACATACCCACAAACCTATAACCACCCCCCTACAACATACAAGAATAAGACTTCATTTTAAGTTATTATATATAAAAACCTCTAAGTACACTACACAAACATATGTAAATCAGGACAAATATTTTTTTTGAAATCAAATTAATGAATATTGTAGATGTTTAATTTTTAGAATATACTTCAACCCCTTGCTGAAAGGAGTACTTCCAGGGGCAAGAGGAGGGACTTCTCATGGCAGAGATTAGAGGGTGGGACTTCCAGTCACAAGATAGCAACGAGAGGGTGAGGCACTTGTCAAGGGGCAGGGCTACCATGCGGCCCTTAGCAGCTTGCCAAAACTCAGTAAGCGACCCTCCACCTGAAATAAATTGCTTGCCCCTGTGACAGTCAGTCCTAATGCCACATTTGCACAGCAGGATGCACAATTTTGGGATCAGGGATTGGATGCCAACTGCACCATTAGGATCTTGGGCTCCCCCTGCACTAGCAAGTTGAAAGCTGGGTCAGCTGATTGTCCACCCCAGCTGTGGGACACAAAGCATCAAGCCCTGGGATGTCAGCAAAACGTGCGATCAACCCAGCTTTTTTAAGGTCCCAGCGTGTCAGGATCCTGCAATCAGGAGGAGGTTCCCCATCCGAGAGTCCCTGTGGCTGGGATGTCAACTGCTTTGCTCTTTAGCTCCCATGGGAGCTGCCAAGTCAGTCAAGCACTATGCTAGGTATTAGGGAGCCTCACAGCTCTCCACAACCCAACATCTTGGCCTAACTGATGCGCCTGCTAACATGGAGCAGTTGCCACCAAGCCCTGCCATGCAACTACCATTAAGCTGCATGGCAGGGCTACCCTGACACAGATTCAATTTAAGATGCAATGAAAGCCAGGCACAAAAATATTACATTTTGTGGAATATTTTTGTGGCTGGTTTCCTGTTTTGTTATGCTATTAATTCCTTGAATGTGTGGCAGGGTTACCATTGACAGCAAGATTAACAGGTTCATCATGTCTTAAATGTAATGTCTGCCAGGGGCCTCAGGGTCCTACAGTAAGGCTTTACTATTTCCCTTTAGACTATTTATTAAAAAAAACAAAACAAACAAATTTGTTCCTCTGTAGATTTTTATCTGCTAAGCTCATCTTCCTTTTCTCAGTTTGTCTTATCAGGATTTTTCAACGTACATAATCTTTGCTCTCTATACCCAGGATACCTTTTTTACTTGTTTTTTTTAGTGATAGAAAAAGTTGGATCTTGCTGCTAAACAGAGTCTGTTAGAATAAATTACATTAATCAGTTACGTCCTGGTTTAAAGAGCACCAAGAAAGTTTATTTTCCTTAAGATTCAGGATTTTGCCATGCCCTCAGATATAGCAATCACTGAACCATTTCACCACAGACTAATTTTCACCAAGCAATGTTCTCATAGATTTCATAGACATTAGGGCTGGAAGGGACCTTGTAAGATCACTGGGCCCAGCCCCCTGCCCAAGGGACAGGAAGTCAGCAAGGGTCAAAGAATCCCAGGAAGATAAGCATCCAAATGTCTCTTAGAAGTGTCCAGAGTAGGTGCTTGCACCACTGCTGAGGGGAGTCTGTTCCAGGTGCTGGGGGCTCATACAGTAAAGAAGTTTTTCCTTATGTCCAGCCTAAAACGGTCTTGCAGGAGTTTGTGACCGTTGGACCTTGTCATCACTTGGGGTGCTTGGGTGAACAGGCATTTCCCCAAATCCTGGTGCATACCTCACATGTACTTATAGGCTAATAAGGTCTTCAGATTCAGTCACTAGTATTTCATTTTTTATCACTGTGTTCTCTTGGACTGGACAGTACACTAAGGAAAACAATTCCTACCACAAAGCTTATTGTGATATATGTCAGACTGGTAACCTGGCAGACAAAAGGTTCATTTTTCAGGCTTAGGTTGCGTGCAGAACCACAGACTCCAAGAAACGTTGGAATGGAAGGGACTTCAGGAAGTCATCTAGTCTAGCCCCATGCTCAAGGCAGGATCATCACTTTCTAAACTATCCAAACATTTGCCTATCCCAGTGGTGCTCAACCTTCCAGCCCTGAAAACCAGAGGAGTGGTAGAGTGCCAGATCCAGTGTAGGCTCAGGGTGCAGCCCTTCAAGCCAGTAGCTATTGAGCATGGGAGTTATGGATACAGCCTCTGAATTAGAACTTCCTTGACCTTAAATGCTGGAGGCTGCAATGAGAGAGGAACAGTGGGGAAAAAAAATCTTGTCATACCCTGTTCACTCTCCCTTTCATCGTCCACTCTCTGCCCCCGTGACACAGGCCTTCTGATAGGCCAAAGCCCACCAAATAGAGCTATATGCCCCCCTTGATTTGGGGGGGGCCCTAAGGATTTATCACTGGTTGCTTGGGACAAATAAAAAAATACATTAGAGACAGGAGTGAAGATCAAAGGTTCAAAACAAGTGCAACAAGGAGGGACCCCTGTGTGACAGGATACTGGGCAAGATGGGCCAATGCTCTGACCCAGTAAATGGCAATTTTTATGCCTTCTGCAAGCCGCAACAATTAACACTGCCACTGCTCTGCCACTGGCAATCTTCCAGACTTGTGAGGTGCGAGGTGCTCCCTCCTCGCCCCTT